GTGGGCGACGTCCGCGGGGCCGGCGAAGTCCGAGGCGTCCTTCAGGAGGCACACGTGGCCCGCGGCTTCCAGGTGGTCCCTGTGGAGACGGGACACGGAGAGAAAGATGTGGGAGAGGGACACGCCCAGGTTGCTGCGGGGATTGAGCACTGACCTGTGAACCAGGGGGTCAGGGTTCCATTCGGGGTCAGGGCTCCATTCCCGGTCAGGGCACAGGCCCGGATGGCGGGCTCCATCCCCAGTGTGGGGCGCGCAGGGGGCAGCCGATCCGTGATTCTCTCTCATCATTGATGTTTCTCTCTCTCCCGCTCCCCTCTTCTAGGACAGCGGTTCTCAACCTGTGGGTCGAACGACCCTTTCACAGGGGTCGCCTAAGACCATCGGAAAACACATCTATAATCACATATTGTTTTTGTGATGAATCACGATGCTTTAATGATGTTCAATTGTCACAATGAAAGTGGAGGTCACCACAACATGAGGGGCTATATGAAAGGGTCGCGGCACGAGGCAGGTTGAGAACCACTGCTCTAGGAGATCATAAAATATATTAAAAAGAAAGAAAACTGGGAAACTTCCCTCAGGCAATTGCAGACGGATCCACCACCTCAGGGGCAGGAGCTGGGGAGCGGGGGGCGGGCACCTTCGCTGCCACAGGTCCGCCGGCTCCTCCCCCTCCCGCCCGCTGTTTCCTCAGGGCTTGTTTGCTCTCCGTTATCTGAAGCACTTCCACTCCGATAAGAACACTTTTGGACACCGTGTCCCAGCTGGTGACTGCAGAGCCCAGCTCCCAGGCACGTGGCCCCGCCTTAATCCTGATGCCAACAGGCTCGCCCGGGGGCTGAGGGGCCCCCAGGACTCCGGACACGGATGGCCGAGCCCGAACCGCTTCCACTGGCTGAGTCCCACCCTCCGCCCCCAGGAGCTTGCAGACCAGAGTCCAGGAGCCCTGGCACCGGGGTGGCATCTGGCAGTGCGGCTTAGGGCAGGGGCAGTGCCTGGCATGGCTCCTGGCTTAAGGCACTGGCAGTGCCTGGCGAGGCTCCTGGCTTAGGGCAGGGGCAGGCCGCCTGGTGTGGCTCAGGGGTTGAGCATCGACCTCTGAACCAGGTCACGGTTCGATACCCTGTTTGGGGGCTCCATCCCCAGTAGGGGGCATGCAGGAGGCAGCCAATTGGTGATTCTCTCTCATCATGGATGTTTCTCTCTCCCTCTCCCCCTTCCTCTCTGAAATCAATAAAAAGTGTGTCTATATAAAGAAATTGGACAGGGGATGGAAAACCTCTCCTTGAAACGGCCAGGGAGTAACTATCTTTGGGTCTGTGGACAGAGGGCCCTGTTCCCCTCTCCATGGGGGGCAATGAGGGGCGGGGAGGGGCGGGCGCTGCTCCTCCGGACCTGGCCGGCGATGTCCAACCTTTTCATCTCAGAGCTCACGTCCACGTGTGTGTGTGTGTGTGTGTGTTGTGTAAAATTTGCATAGGTATACGTTTCATTCATTCACCTTGGAATGACATGTGCCTTGGCCAGAATTGAACCTGGGCCCTTTGGTCCGCAGGCCCACGCTCTACCCACTGAGCCAGACGGCCAGGGCCTGTGGTCACTGATGATCTGAGGGAAGAGAGGTCCCTGCCCCCGACGAAACAGTCAGGTTTCACACGTTTTGAACACTCGGGCGGCGTGCCGCGCGGAAACCGCTGCCCTGGACCGGATGCCACGACTGCCCGGGC